GATAGATAGATAGATAGATAGATAGATAGATAGCTGGGGGACTATCTTCCATCTTCCCTCACCACTGCCATGTTGTTCCAGGGATGGAGCCCCAGTCAGCTTGGGTCCTTTCCTTAGTGGCTAGGATGAACTAGCTTCCTGCTGCCCCATGAATGAGCCACTGAAATTTGGAAGTTTGCGTTTCTGCAGCAGAACCTTGCCCATCCTTACTAATACAACTGATAGGCTCCAAATCTTAAAAAAAAAAAAAAATAAAAGTTCCAGGCATATAGATGGCTCAGTTGGTTATTTGCCTTAGGCTCAAGTCATAATCCTGGGGTCCCAGGAGAGAGCCCCAGGACAGGCTCCCTGCTCAGTGGGGAATCTACTTCTCCCTTCCCCTCTGCCTCTGTGATCTCTCTCACGCTCTCTCAAATATTTTAAAAATCTTTCACACTATTAGGAGATCCTCACCAGACTCACAATATGAGAAATGCCGTTGAGAGAAAAAGCAGGGGTTCCCTGGGTGGCTCAGCTGTTTAGCGCCTGCTTTCAGCCCAGGGCATGATCCTGGAGTCCCAGGATCGAGTCCTGCATCGGGCTCCCTGCATGGAGCCTGCTTCTCCCTCTGCCTGTGTCTCTGCCTCTCTCTCTCTGTGTCTCTCACGAATAAATAAATGAAATCTTAGAGAGAGAGAGAGAGAGAGAGAGAGAGAGAGAGAGAGAGAGAGAGAGAAAGCAACTCATCTCCCCTCCAGGGTGGGTCTTTTGCAAATATCCAGTAAAGTGTTCCTATGGATATTATTTAATGTTTGTCTCATACCTCTGGTGGAAGCTTGTTTATGAGTATGAGATGGTCCAGTGATTGTCAGGAAAAGGACTTCTAAGAGACTTTCAAAAGATTACTGCTAGATAAAGAATAACGGTGGCGCACACATTCCAGGGCAGATTTCAGAGAAAGGTGGTGGATGAAGTCTTAGAGTCATCAGAGCCTTCTCTGCCCACCTTCCCAGAATCAGCTGAAAGACCAATGTAAGAGGATGAATGATGGTCCCCCAAAATATATGGCCATGTTCTAACCCCCTGAACCTGTGACTATGATCAGTTTTGGGCAAAGGATCTTTTCAGATGTAATGCCTAATAATAGGTAAGGACTTCCTTTTGGGGGTGACAGGGATCCCTGGGTGGCGCAGCAGTTTAGCGCCTGCCTTTGGCCCAGGGCGCGATCCTGGAGACCCGGGATCGAATCCCACGTCGGGCTCCCGGTGCATGGAGCCTGCTTCTCCCTCTGCCTATGTCTCTGCCTCTCTCTCTCTCTCTGTGTGCCTATCATAAATAAATAAAAATTAAAAAAATTAACTAACCTTTTGGGGGTCACAGACATAGTGATGGTCAAACAATATGGAGAAAGTACGAAATTCTACTGCACTATTCATTTTAAAAATGGTTAATTTGGGCAGCCCCGGTGGCTCAGCGGTTTAGCGCCACCTTCAGCTCAGGGCATGATCCTGGAGACCGGGGATTGAGTACCATGTCAGGCTCCCTGCCTTGAGCCTGCTTCTCCCTCTGCCTGTGTCTCTGCCTCTCTCTCTCCCTCTGTCTCTCATGAATAAATAAATAAATAAAATATTTTTAAAAATAAAAAATAAAAATGGTTAATTTCAGGGCATTAACTGACTGGGTGGCTCAGTCAGTTAAGCATCTGACTCTTGATCTCAGCTCAGGTCTTGATCTCAGAGTTGTGAGTTTAAGCCCTGTGTTGGGCTCCATGCTGGGTGTGCAGCCTACTATAAAATTTTTTTAAATGGTTAATTTTATGTTATCTAGTGAATTTCACCTCAATTAAATAGTTCAATATACCAAAAAAAATAGTTCAATATTAAATACATTAGAAATCTATACGGGAAACTGTTGGCAAGGATGCAGAACAACCAGAACTCTCATTCACTGCTGGTGAGATGGAAAAAAATGGTATGATGGCTTTGGAAGGGAGTTTGGCAATTTCTTTTCTAAGATATTTTTTTATCTCCAGAGAGTTTTTTTTTTTTTAAGATTTTATTTACTTATTCATGAGAGACACAGAGAGAGACAGAGACACAGGCAGAGGGAGAAGCAGGCTCCATGCAGGGAGCCCGATGTGGGACTTGATCCTGGGTTCCCAGAATCAGGCCCTGGGCTGAAGGCAGTGCCAAACTGCTGAGCCACCCGAGCTGCGCCAGCAATTTCTTATAAAATTAAACATTCATCCACCCTAGGACTAGCGATCTCACTCCCAGGTATTTATCCAAGAGAAATGAACAACCATGTTCACACCGAGGCCTCAGACAAACATACTCAGCAGCTGTATCCAGAACAGTCCCAAAGTCCCCGAGCAGGTGTGCGAGGAAATAACTGCAGAGCCCCCAGCCAATGGCAAAGTGAAGGAACTGACAGGGAGGGAACATGAAGGAACTTTATGTTCATTGGGGTTTGGGGAACAAACACGGATGCATTTCTCAAAACTCCAAGAGTATACATGGAAATTCTGTGCATTTCATTTCATGTTATGGAAATTGCATCTTAAAAAAAAGGAATGTGAATATTGAACTCAGGTTAGTGATACACATTAGCTGAAGGATTGGGAGGAGGGCTGTCTTCTCATGTCTGCAAGTTATTTTAAAATGCATCCAAATACATGATGGATGGTTGGAGAGGGGTTGGCAGATGGCTAAGCATCTGACAAAGCAAGTACAGTAATACTTTCACACCTGTAGAATCCAGATGGATGGTGGGTCAGGTCAGGTACCTGAGGACACCTGGCACGGTTGCCAGTCCCAACACCCCAGTAATCTTTGAAAGTGGAAGGCCTTTCACATGGCTCTTGGTCTCACTCACCTGCTCATGTTCACTGGCCCCTTCTGTCCTCAGGCTCCATTTTCCCTCCAACAGGACTCCATGCACTACTTCTTCCTCCTCCTCCTCCTCCTCCTCCTCCTCCTCCTCCTCCTCCTCCTCTTCTTCTTCTTCTTCTTTCTTTTCTTCTTCTTTCTTCTTCTTTTTTCTTTTCTTCTTCTTTCTTCTTCTTCTTCTTCTTTCTTCTTTCTTCTTTTTTTTTAAGATTTTATTTATTTATTCACAAGACACACAGAGAGAGGCAGAGACACAGGCAGAGGGAGAAGCAGGCTCCCTGCAGGGAGCCCGAGGCAGGACTTGATCTCAGGACTCTGGGATCACGCCCCGAGCCCAAGGCAGATGCTCAACCGCTGAGCCACCCAAGCGTCCCAACTCCATGCACTTCTTAAGACATCATCCGTTCCAGCATCTCTACTGCCCAGCTCTAAGCAGGGACCCCCACAGCCTAGACCCAGAGCCCCAGTCCAGAGCTGCTTTGAGCCAGTTCCCAGACCACCTGCTTCTCCCCAGTGCCATCTCAGCCAAGGAACTGGCCTCCAGCAGGGTCTCAGACATCCTCTCTGACTCGTCCTGTCACCCACCATGTGTAACTGTTGCCAACTCCTATCTCCGCCCTGAGCTTCAGGTCCATTGGCTCCCCAAACCCTTGCTCCTCTTGCTTTGTCATTCCACCAGGCTGCCTGCACCCACCCCCACCCCCACTTTGGCCTAGTGGATCCATTTTCCACACGCCTGTCAGAAGTAAGGTTTAGCCTCCAGGCAGATGACCCAGTCACTATTTTCTATGAGCACCTAAGTCTCCAGGGCTCTTCCCTGTCCATGTCTGTAGCAACGCCTTCGAGCTTCACCAGGACCTGCCAACCCCCCTGCTGGGTCCAGGTGCTAGCTCCTTCCCCCTTGCAGTGCCCTGTCCCAGCCAGTGCAGGAGCCCAGTGCTGCCCACAGGATCTGGTGTGTCGTGGGTACATGTCCCACAAGCCTGACTGTTGGCTGAATAGTCCCTGTGGTTCTCAACCCCCGTGCCTCCCCTGCCTTGGGAGCCCAAACGGCATTTCCGTGCTGTGCCTCAGGACACTGGAACTTTGATTAGTCTAAGAACAAAACACGAGACTTCAGCATCCCTCCTGCAAGCGACCAACGCAGAGGGCCAATGAGACCGGACAGGAGTCTGCCGAGGGGTTTCCAGGAAGCGTTCCCTCACTCATGGGGAGAGACAGAAGAGTTCCCTCTTTACTTTTACATGGACACTGCCAGATGCTAGCCAACTTGCAATCCTGAGGGGATGACCAGCAGTATGAAAGCTGGCCCTAGCGGGTCTAGAGTCCACTCCAACTTGACCAACTCCAGAACTGTCCTGCTGACCTTCCTGAGATGCTGGACTCCTAGCTGTTTAGGCCAACTGAGTTAGGAGCTTTGAGTCACAGGTGAAGTCATCCTCACTCAATATGGGTGAATTGGAAGAAATTCATGCATCCTGCAATTTTTATGTAAACTTAGAGCTTACCAGCGTAGACCAGTAAGCAGTGGAAGAGCTCCATCCCCCTGACCTCACCACCTCCCAACACCATGGCACTGGGGAAACAGGTGTGTTACTATACGAATTTTTTTTAAATTTTTTTTTAATTTTTTATTTAATAATGATAGTCACACACAGAGAGAGAGAGGCAGAGACATAGGCAGAGGAAGAAACAGGCTCCATGCACTAGGAGCCCGATGTGGGATTCGATCCCGGGTCTCCAGGATCGCGCCCTGGGCCAAAGGCAGGCGCTAAACCGCTGCGCCACCCAGGGATCCCCACTATACGAATTTTGAGGCAACGCACACATTCAGTCTGTAGTGCTCAGGGCTCCTGTTTCTTCTCATCCCTGGAATCCAGTCCTGTTGGCCTTCCCTGGGTTGTGCAGAGGCAGTGCTATGCAGCTCACCCCTGTATCTCTGCATACTGAGGCTGGCCCAAAACAGAGAATCAGGAACCATGGGAGGCAGGTGCCAACTGCTAAGGAAAGCATGGCCTGTTTTAGGCACCGATCCCACAGTGTAATCACAAATGTCAGGCTGCTAAGAGAACAGACCCAGGTCTTGTCATTCCCAGGGCGAGGGATGGTGGGGGCAGCATAGAAAGGCGAGACTGCAGGGTTTTTAAAATAACTGCATCCTTTAATGGCAGTAATACAATTATTGGATTAAGAGACCACAGGAGAAAGGGCAGGTGACATTTCTGGAAGACAGATAAGGAGTACAAAAAGGGAGCCGGGACAGTCATGCGATGATCATTGTAAAAATACAGTACGTTATATACATATTTGCACCATCAACTCTCAACTCTGAAGTAGTATTTACACTTTTGTTACAATCCTGGTTAGAGAACATTTTGTTTTTAAAAGCTTAGCCTGATGGCAAATGAAAATTTCGGGGGAATTCATAGTCCCATGAGGTTCTTAGGCTGAATATTCCGACAGGAGGGTTCCAGCTTCTATTTCATCCACAGATTTCGGTTTTAAAAAAAGTATTTAATTTTGCTTTTACAAAAGAAAATTCTGAAAGGAGGAAGAAAAAAAAATCCACAGCCACACTGTGTATTCTTATTTTACAAACACCAAGGGCTACAGCCCTTTGCTTCAAGGCCAACACTGGTGGCTGAAGAAAAATCTCACTAATGATTGTTTAAAAACAACAAAAACAGAAAAGACAAAGACAAACCAAACCTGATCACGGCGCACTGACCCTGTGGGCTGCCTTCTCCCGCCCTAGCTTCCAGCCCCAACTCAATGACTGTTTTTTCTTTTTCTGGGGACAGGAGTTTGGTATAGGAGCCTCACTTACCTCCCACCCCAAGGAGCTGGGAGGGGAAACCCTTTGGCTGGGTCATCAGGTTTCCTCATTATTAGTAAGGAAGAGGTGGGGGCCTTACACAAGCCAAGTGTGGTGATGGGATGAGGAGAAAAAGGCAAGAGGCGGCCAGCAGGTGCTAACACACAGACGGGAAGGACCTTCGAGCCCCAGGCTGGCCTCCCCAAGGCCACCTCCACAGGGTGGGCCCTCCTCCGGAGCTCTGTAGACAGAGCTGGACCTCAGCCAGGGTCCTGGGGCAGGTAGGGAGAGCCCAGTGGAGACGTCTCTTCTCCCATCCCGGCTCAGCCAGAGAAGGGGAGCAGGATGTAGACTTCTGGTTCCTCGCCTTCCACCTGCAAGCAGGGGGTCCCACTGGGCTGTTCCTAGAGGAGCCCAGCAGCCCCCCACCCTGCCCTGACTAGCCTCTGCCCTTTCCTCAAGCCCCCCAAATCTACCACTGTGACATGCCTTTGAACCCATGCACCGTCAGCTGGGAAGAAAACCAAACACACCAATACCACGGGCCCTATGTTAGACAAGGTGCAAAGGATGTTCGAAGTGAGCGGAGAGCAGAAAACACTTTGCCAAGAATCACCCGGGGCTCCCAGCAGCGGGAGCCTGGTGGAGCGGCCACACCGCGGATCCTTGAGCTATCCCCATTAGGGCTGGGGCCAGCACACTGGGTGCTCTGGCTCCTGAGGACCAGGAAAGACCTCAGCCTGGAGGGGAAGAGGGCGTGGCTGCGACGGAACAGGACAGGGGCTAATACTGACAGACAACACACGGTCTGTGGAGGCTGCCTCCTGGAGGCAGCTTTAGGTATGCCACTCCACACCAGCCCTGCCACCTCCAGGTCCATCTCTCACCCTGGAGTCTTCTGATGTGGGCGGAGGGTGTGTGGGTCTGAGGACGAACTCTGGACGGAGGGCAGCAGGGAGGCTGGGCTGTGAATCCGCATGAGATAGGAGCAGAAGGGGCTTGCTTCTCCTGGACCAGGCAGCTTCCAAGGGCTCTCTGCCTTTCTTTTGAGTGGTTTCCTTCCTTCGGTCCCTGAAACAGGTCAGGGCCTGCCCACTGTCTTGGCTTCCTCTCTCCTCACTCATAAGGGGTGAGCAGCATTTGGTGCCTTTGGACACCTACTGTTCCCTTTGTCCTCCGGGGGTGGGCGGGGGGCCGAGGATGGGCCAGGCTTTGCCCAGAAAACCCACTGGACCCCCAGCCACCAGACTGGGGCTCCAGCCTTTAGAGAGTCCCTGACAACTGAGCCCGGCCAGAAGGAGTGCCAGCTGGGGCTGAGGCTCAGAGGACTGGCCACTGCTCATGTACACAAGTAGGTTTTCCTGGCGGAGGCCTGGGAGCCCCACAGCACTGACCAGAACTGAGTGAAAATGGTTATATACAATTTATATGCTGTAAAGAAAGTACTACTTAAAAAGAGAGAAACAAAAAGAGAAAGCGAGAGAGAGAGAGAGAGAAAGCGAGAGAGATGGAGAGGAGAGGAAAAAAAAAAAAACAAAACACCCGGAGCCCCCCTCCCCCCAAGTTCCCAACTCTGGTTGCTGCCCTTAAATATTGCCCTGGGAAGGGTGGGGTGCAGGGAGCACTTGACTCCACCTTAACACTACTGGCAAAAGGGGGAGGCAGTGGGGTCAAAGCCTTTAAAAACATCTTTCAGGGACCCCGCGTCCTGCTCACCCTCGCGGGCTGGGCTGTTGCCAGCAAATGGGCTCCCAGAGCCCGTCTTGGGCGTCTGTTTCACAGTCCCAAAGAGGGTAGGCACCGGCAGGTTGTGCACACCAGGCTGGGGTGAGGCACCCTCTGGTGGCGGGGCGCCAGGAGTAGTGGCGGGGGCTGCTGCAGCCTTGGGCCGGGGCCGGTTGTAACTGTTGTATCTGTCTGTGGCTGTGGCTGCACTGCCATCTGCACTGGACTTCCCAGATTCTGGCTGTTCCAGGGCGGACTTACGGATGAAGGGGGGCTCCTTGGCCTTCGTGGCCGAGCTCTTGCCATTGCCCTCGGGGCCCTTAGGCTGGGCGCCTGCATCAGCAACCGGCTCCGTAGTAGTTTTGCCACCTGCGTTGGGAGTCCTGGGGTCATAGAGGCTGATGCCACTCAGCACACTGCTCTGGCTGCTCCCACTGCCCTGGCCCAGCCCACCGGCAGCCAGCACTCGGGGGTCGTAGGGGGCGGTGGCTGGTGGGGAGGACTCCCCGCTGGGGCTGCCAGCTGGAGAGGATGCTTCAGTGGGGCCAGGCTTGGCAGCCCGGGAGGAGGCAGCAGAGTCTGCTGGTTTCTGAAGCCGAGGGTCGGTTGGTGCCTTCCGCACCCGGGGGTCACTGGGCTTGTCGCTGGAGCCAGGGGCTGCTGAGGGGCCCGTGGCATTGACGGTCTTAAGGATGCGAGAGAGGAGCTCAAAGTCAGGCAGGTTAGACCCGGATGTGCCAGGGTCTGTGGAGGTGCCCAGGCGCGGTCGAGGGTTGGGGGGTCCTGTGGCAGTGGCACGGTGCAGCCTGGGATCCAGGGTGGGCATGGACTGCAGGGCCGCAGGGAGAGGGGGGACCGCGTCCTGCTTGGGGATGGGCAAGGGAATCAGGTCTTCAGGGTTCCAGAGCACAGTGCGGGCGAAGCTTGGCTTGCTCAGGGTCACATCTTTCTTGATGTGGCTAAACTGCTGCAGCTGGGATCTTGGGTCCCGCAGTGGGTGTCCAGGGAGAGGGTCCAGGGGAATGGTCATGGCCTTCTCCCGTAGGACCCGCTCCCCTTCCTCCTCTTCTGCAGGGGGTGGTCCAGACCCCTTGGAGCCTCCGGGGCCTGCAGGGTTGGAATGAAGGCCGCCTTCGGGTTTTGGGATGGGCAGGGAGCGAGCCAACCGAGGGTCGGAGGGCCCTGTGTCTCCTGGGCCAGACCCGCTGGAAGCCTCGGCGTGGCGGGTGAGTCTGGGGTCCCGGCTGAGGCGAGGGTCAGCCAGCCGGCCTCCTGTAGGGTGTCCTTTCTGGAGGCGGGGATCTCCTAGCCCACTGTTGCTCAGGTCCCCGACGGAAGCCTGGGGTCTGCTAGAGGTCTGCTGTCTCAAGGTCTTCAGGATGGAAGTGACGCTGCTCCCACCCTCATCCTCATCACTAGAGTACCAGTTTCCCGTGTCACCTAAGGAAGAACAGAGGAGGAGGGAGGTGAGTGACCACATGTGGTACCAGCCCTTGTGGACCCCACAGCAGCCCACTGGGTGAACGGCTCCTCTGCCTTACCTCTGACAACCTCAGTTTCCCCTCCCTTGGCAGGCGGCCATGAACAGACACTGAGCTTAGGCGGGCTGAGCCTGGCAGGTCACTAGCTAATGTTTCTAGACCTTTCCCCCATGTGCCAGCACTGCTCTAAGTGCTTGGTCTTATTAATTCTCACAACCACCCAGGAAGCAGTATTATCAAGCCCTGTTGACAGATGAGAAAGCAGAGGTGTGGACAGTGCCATGAGATCAGGGGCAGAGCAGGGACTGAGCTCCGCACCCTAGCCCAGGGCCCTGTCACCTCGTCCTCACCCTCCACAGACTGAGGTCCCAACACGGCAGGCCCAGCCCTGGGCAGCTGGGCGCAGCTACCACTGACTCTGCTCTCACTTGGGGCTCACAGACACTGGTCCCCAGGCCCCTTGCCATGTTACCATGGGAAGGGCAGTCACCGGCTGATGAGAGGCGGGGCCGGGTGGGCTCAGAAACTGGCCTAAGTCCAACCTTCTGGGCAGGTAAAACCAGAGCCACCAATGGAGGGTGCTGTCCCCTCTTCCCCCTGTCCCCACCTGCTCCTGGGCTCCCACAAGGGCCACCTGTGGCCTCAAGCTCCTGGTTCTAAACACCATTTGTCTACCCCATTTCCTCCTGGGCTGGATGCCATCAGGTCCACTGTGTAGCACCGAGCGATCTGGCAGGTGGGACTGACTGTTACTGGTTGATGTCAGCAACTAGCTGTCATCTGCTGACTTTCTGAGAACATGGTCTAGGGAAAGGGGCTGTGAGCCTCTCCTTTCAGCCTTCTCTCTAAGGGCGCAGAAGGGAAATCCTGTTGGCTGCGGTCTCCTCCAGGGACCAGCCCACCTCCCTCCTTGATGGGATCAGGGTCTTTCTTGACCCTCAAGACACAGAACAGCAGCCCTGACTTCCAATTTTCTTAGGGACATGCAATGCAGCATCCGCAGCCTGGCTTCACGGCCCTGGGCCAAGGATCCTTCCTGGCCACAGGCTCCTTTCCGACACAAACCCCCACCTAGGCCTTCCCCACCGCTCCACTGCACAGTGGCCCAGGGGGCCCGTGCCTGTCTGGGGAAGCCCCTGCCCCTGGGGAGGACACATGCCTTCCTCATTCTCCCGGTCCTGCTTGCTGCTCTCAGCCAGCCTCCTCGCTCTCTCCTCCTCCTCCTGCTGCTTCTGCTGGATCCTCAGGTACAGGGCCCTCTGGGCTGAGGGCAGGAAGTCGGGGACAGCGGCGCCCGGCTTCGGCCGGCCTGGGGGCCCTCCCTCAGAGAAGCTGTCAGGCTCCAGAGGGGGCTCGGGGAAGAGGTGCTCCCCCGGCTCCCCCGGCAGCTCTTCGTAGCGCCCGTAGTCCTCTGTGGCAGGGAAGAACCAGGGTTCGTGTCGGGAAGGGCCTCGTAGCCAACTCCAGCCCACCTGTGCACCCTTGACCAGAGAACCACCCCCCAATGGTGATGGGTGACAACGTGCAGCCCAACCCTTCCTACCCTCCCAGGACGGTCCCCACAGAAAGCCCGACAGCAGCCAACAAGGGGATCCCCACCCAGGATGCAGCCACTGAAAATGGGGTTCACAGCACAATTTGGTGATGTGGGCAAATGCTGAACATAGGACGGAACGTCATACAGATGTTTATAAAACGCAAAGAAAAGGCTTTGAAGACAGACAGAAAACAGTCCCCCTGGGAACGAGACTGGGCAGACAGGGCTGAAGGGTCTTTCACTTTTGACCCCACATGCTTTTGGATCTCCTCTAATTACTGGCAATGAAGATTCACTTTACGGTTTCTTTATAATAGCCAGAACAGAAAAACACTGCATGTCATAGAGAGCTCGGAGCTCGTAATACGAGCTCAACCATGGTGAACAAAAACTTATGAACAGGGATGCCTGGGTGGCTCAGCAGTTTAGAGTCTGCCTTTGCCTCAGGGCATCTGATCCCAGTGTTCCAAGAGTGAATCCCACATCGATCTCCCTGCATGGAGCCTGCTTCTCCCTCTGCCTGTGTCTCTGCCTCTCTCTCTCTCTCTCTCTCTCTCTCTCTCTCTCTCTGTCTCTCATGAATAAATAAATAAAATCTTAAAACAACAACAACAACAACAACTTATAAACAGAAGGAAATAATCAAAATGTTGCTATGGTCACATGCCAAACCAGGAGGCCCCTGGGTCATTCCTGCTCCTCCCACCTTTGTGGGTTCTGGCACCCCACAAATCCTCCTCAGTATGCTGCTGCAGTTAAGGCCAGGGCCAGTGGGTGCTTCTCCCACCCAGCATCTAGGAAGCACGAGGCTGAAGGCTCTGCCTTCACTCCAGCAAGGTGGGCAGATGCCTGACATCAGCCACCAATCTCCACAAACTCTACCCACATCAGAGCCCGGGTGGGGGAAGAAGGTGGCTGTACAGGGAGACCATGTGCATGTGTGTATGCTTGTTGAGACATCGTCTGGTCAGCGCTGCCCCATACACATAGGATGTCCGGCAGGGACAAGATGTTCCACAGCTGCACTGTGCAACTTGCCACCACCACCCTCCACGGGGCTACTGAGTGTCTGAATATGGCCAGTGCTACCAAGAAAGTAAAGCTGTAATTTAAGTTAAACTTAGAGACTTAAAATGATTTGTAAATATTTCATCCCTGAAGTGTATAAGGCAAAAAGTGAAATGTCATCTTCTTCTAAGCCCCTAAACTTCAGAACATGTGAGCTCAGTGTGGAAGCCTATGCTATGCGGCGCCCTAGTGCGGAGCTGGGCTCACTCAGTGAAAAAGCAGTCGCAGGCCCCCCTGCGTGGAACCTACGGCCAGAGCGAATTTCCCAAGGCTGTAGAGCTGTGAATATAGTAAAAACCACTGAGCAGTATAATTTAAAAGGGTAGATTTCCTGATATAGGAATTAGAGTGAATTACTCTAGAAACACTTACTGTTAACAGCTTGATGGACTTGCTTTTCCTCCACACCCAGACCCTTTTCCATATATTTATGAAAAAAAGGGAACCACAGCACCGCCCTCACAAAGCCTGCTTTCCTGACCTGAGAACATGTCACTTATCTTTCTAAAGCTCCTGCTCCTTGCCCCCAAATACCTGCTCTCATGGCTTTGAACACTACCTACACCAGATGCCAGAGACTCACACTGACCTCCAGTCTAGCAGTCTTTCTGACACCCCTCAACATTTCCACACAGTTATCAAATGGGCGTCTCTTGCTTAAGGTAGCAGCCAAAGCAGAGATGCTCCCCACCCACCGCAATCTGGCTCTCTCCAGTAGGACTTCCCGGCATCGGGGATGGCATGAGCACCCACCCAGTGACTCTGCCCCACGGCCGGCATCCCCCTCTGCTCCTTCCTGCCCTATAACATGTATACGGGGAGACACACTGACCCCATGGCACTATCTCCACACCATGAAGCCCAGCTTTGCTAATTCGTGCCCCATTGCAGGCGCCTCTGCCCAAGATGACTCCACAGCAGCCCAGAAGCTGTGATGAATCCACTGCAGCCTCAACTACCCATCACCCTCAAATGCCTCTGCCTGTACCCTTTCATTCTTGCAATGAGGCCACCTCACCAGGGCTGTCAGAGTCCCACATAGGGACTTCTCTCTCCTGTCTTCCCTTTCCAAGCTACATGGCTGCCTCTGCTTTTCTCACCCGAGCTGAGTGGCCTGGGGTCTCTGCACCTTGGCTTCCTCCCCTTCACGCTCCAACATTCACTTTTCAGAGATGCCTCTGTTGATTGTCCCCACATGGTACCGATGCTCTTGACCTGCCTCTGCCATAAGCACTGTTTGACTTTCTCGAGAAACGATCGATGCTGAGATGAGCTTCCACGCTTACTTACGCTTTTCCTGTTTCCCTCAACCACAATGTGGCTAAGGCAAGGACCATGGCTGCCCTGTTGGCTCTGACCCTGGGCCTGGCACCAAGCCCGGGAGCTGGCAGTAGCAGACTCACCCTATCCTTCCCAAAGGCCATGGCACAGTCGGCCGACCACCCTGACTGGCAGACATTTAAATTGTTACCAATACACATTCTTGTTCGAATAAGGAAGGAAGGAAAGGAAGGAAGGAAGATGGTCAGTCATGGGGACAGAACAAGCAGAGGCGTAAGGCTAACACCCTCAACTCCAAGCTGAGAACCATCTGGAAAGAGGCCGCTTTGGAGAGGAAGCCTCCACCTTAAAGCCCACGACCATTCTATATCTGCTCTTCTGACTTCTCATGGTCCCGATTCCAGGCACAGCCAGCAAAATTTGTAAAGCATTAAATAAATTACACTGATAGTATCACAAGACTCCTTTCAACCTCAACAGGGTAGCGAATGCCTCATCACTGAAAACGTGCAACCACTCACGGGACAGAGATGCAGTTGGATTCATGCTCTGAAAGACTCGGGCCGAGGAGAAAACCCAAGTCTTCCTGACTATGTTCCCCAGAAACTGCAGTGGCACCCCAGCCCCCACCCAGCCCTGCATACCTGCGTCCCCAATGAGTCCCGGCTCCATCTCCATGCCCTCCTGCTGCTGGTAAAAGTTTTCATAGAAGTTCTGGGATGGTGGGATGGGGGGCATCATTCCAGAATGTGGGGAGTCTCCAGGACCATAGGGCATCATTGGGGGGCCACCAGGTCCCATAGGTGGGCCAGGGTTCATGCCAGGGCCCATCGGCATGTCGGGGTGCATGTCAGGGTGCATGTCGGGGTGCATGTCAGGATGCATGTCAGGATGCATGTCGGGATGCATTGGGCCCCCCATTGGCCCCGGGGGGCCCATGTTGGGCCCAGGGCCCATTGGCCCTGGCGGTCCTCCGGGTCCAGGGAACCTAGGAGGAAGAGAGGGTAACCGTGAGGGGGCTGCAGCGCAAGAGTGGTTAGCCACCCCCCTGAGGAGACATGGAGGTGCCCACGTGGTTGGTCACCAAGGGCTCAGACCAGGCTCACAGTGACAGGTCCCCGGCACAGAGGAGCCTGGCTGAGGCCAGAACTGGCCCACCAGCCTGACTCTGGGGGCCCAAGGCACTCACCTCACGCCCAGCTTCTCTGCCAGCTGGCCTGTGGGCCGTACTACGATCTCAAACAAGGAGGGGATCTTCTTGTTGTACATGTCCTGCTGCTGCTGCAGCTGCTGCGGGGACAGTGGCTCATGCACTGGCATAGGCATCTGGGGGGGCCCAGGGGGTGGGGGCGGAGGCGGGGGTGGGGGTGGGGGTCCGCCCTGCATGGGCCTGCCATTGGGAGAGGTCGGAGCCGGGGGGCCAGGGGGCCGAGGAGGGGTGGGCAGGAGGCCCACGCCCGGGGGTGGTTTGGGCAGGGGGTTGATGCCCTGCTTCTTCAGTTCCTCCACTTCCTTCTCATCCTCTGCGCCCGCTTCCGCGTCGTCAGCCAACATCTGTAGGTGAGAACAAAGGGAGAGATAGGACCAGGAGGGGGCAAGGAATGCGCCTTCCAGGTGGGGAGCCAAATTTTCAGAGGAAAACCCAAAAACACAAGGACCTGCAGCCCTCCCCAACATAAAGCCAAGGAGCACAAAGCCTCTTCAGCACAAAAATCATCATCCCCCACCACTGTCGCATTGGCTCTGTGACCAGCTGGCAGGGGGAGCCAGTCCTGTTTGCAGCAAAACATACAAAACCTAAAAGGTACTGGTTTTCCTCCTTTGGAATTGCATAATTCAACAGCATTAAGCAGTCATGAGGTTGTACAACTACTACCTCTACCTGGTTCCAGAACTTTCTTTTCCCATCACCCCAAAAGAAGGCCCCACACCTATTAGTAGTCATTCCCCTTCCCCCTCCTCCAGGCCCTGGCAATCACTACTCTGCTTGCCACTCTACAATCTGCTTATTCCAGACAGGTCATATAAACAGAATCATACACTGTGTGGTCTTCTGTGATTGGCTTCTTTCACGTGGCATGCTTGCCAGGTTTATCCGTGCTGTAGCGAGTTACCTACTTGATGGCTAATAAGCCAGTGTCCTGTTTGGATTTTAAGGGGTTTCTCACTATACTCTTATAGTCAGACTCCAAATCCTTACCATGACCCACAGAGCTTGACCGCAGGGCTAGGTGTCTAGAGAGGACAGTGCCACACCTCTGTGGCTTCACTTCCTTCATGCAGCTCCAATGTTGGGGTCTCTAACTCTAGATCACCTTAGAGTGACTGTCCTGGTCTTCTATGTTCACTGCTGGGATTCTATCAGCACCCTTCAAAGTAGTGCACCAGCTCTGTAGGATTTTATGCGTAGCTGTGTTCGAGTTTACTCCTGGCTCACACAACAGCTGTCAACTGTACAAGGGCAGGACTATTTTGTGCCTGGGGCCTAGCATAGAACACGAGACAGGGTAGATGGAACTTCTGGAGCAGAATGTCTCACCAATCACGATCCAATGCAGAGAAAACACAGCAGTTTTGACTGCTTTTCTTAGGACTGCTTGCAACCTTGGTCTGTGGCTGGTGTCTGGGAAGCTGGATTTCAGGGCAGGAAGTCCCCCCAAGTATTCCCTGACTAATAACAGGTGCTGTCTCTCAACTGTTTATACAATGTGCTTTCTGAAACACAGAAACACACCCTGGGCACTGACCAAACCTCCATCACGCATCTGCATTTGAGAACATTCCACAAGTCCTGCCATAACCTGAGGAGTTAAGCACGGCCCTCATGACTGCATGCAGCAAGGACTCTATTAAGATGGTGCCTGGTTTCTCCAGCCTTTCCCCACTGTGCCTGTATGCTTGGTCCTGGGAGCCCCCCTCATTAAGTCATCGAACCTGTGCTTGGGTCATCTCAGGGACCTCAGCACAGATGCCTTAGTGCACCCTAACATGGGGCTCAGAGATGTTCCGCCTCCAGCACCTCACCCTCAGCATAACCCAAGACAACCAGCCCTGCTCCTCCACCCAGGTGGTGGGTGGTGGGAGCAGGGCCTTCAGGTGGGTGTCAGGTCCTTCTCGGCTTTTCTCTCTCCTTGCTGTCAGAATAGTCTACACACAGGGACAGCAGGGCCCAGGAGGAATCTGGCTCCAAGGGAGCCAGAATACTTAAGACAATCGATCAATAGAAAACATGTGTCTCTTAGAGCCCTACTGCCCAAGGTGTGATCTGAGTGTGAACCAGCAATGCAGAGGGACCTACTGAACTGGAACCACACTTTTAACACCTGCCTAGGGTAACGCAGGACACACTGCCCAGAACCAGCAGTGTCTTTCAGCACTGCTCTCAGTGGTGAGCCAGGCAGGGGTAGACTCCATGTGCTTCACTGCCTCCACACACTGCTCACTTCCTGCCCAGTGAGCGGGCCCCTTGGCCTCTTCTGGCTCAACCATGTGCGTGCAGCTGCTGCACATGCTTAGACATGCCTCTCTTACTCTTTACTTCCTGTCACTCACCCTAAGGGGTGGCAAGGTGTCACCTCCTCTCACCAAGCCTCTGAATATCAACCTGTCAGGGAGCCTCTGGGCTCCCTACACGTTCCCTCCAGTGCCTCGAACCTAGTGCTCTATCAGGATCTGCCCGATGACTGACTTCATCTTGTTACTGCATCCCCACAACCCAGGACAGCACCCAGCAGAAGTTAGGCACTGTAGCACATGCACTGGATCAATAAGCAAGGAAAACAAACACATGTATCTCCCCTCCTGCCTTCCCCAGACTCCTGAGAACAGTGGCTGCTTAACATCAGCAGAGGATGGGAGAGGTGAGAGGGTGGGGGGCACCTGGGGGGCACAAAGAATCAAGGCTTTGGCTAGCCTGGCTGGGCTATTTGGTGTTCCCCTGAGGGTCTCCCCTGCACAGCACCCCTGCCTCTGCCTCCCCGAAGCCCTGTCCACTGTCATACCTTCAGTTACTGCCCTGCCCGCTCTGAGCAGAGGCTCCCAGACCCATCTATGTGCAGAGCTGCAGGTATGAGTTTGACCCCATCACACTTCATTCCACCTGGCTTCTCCTCCTCCACCAGGAGAGGACCCACAAGCTAGATTCTTGTGAATGATGGACCCTCTATTTCCTAAACCTCAAACCAGGATGAGGGTTCCACTCCCACACAGTTCCCAAGCTACTGCCTGGACCTCCCACCTGAGTGGCTTACCTGCCCCTCCACACCCTCACCCTCTGTCTTGGACCCCTTGTAGCCTCTGGCTGGGACTCTGCACCCCAGCCTCCCACCTAGTCTCTAGTCTCCCTCTCCCTCCCACCATTCTCTGCACGCTGACAGACCAAACATCAATCACAAAGATGGCCACATCTCTGCACCACTAGATCCTTCTGTCAGGGTAACTTGATGCCCTCAGGTAGAAGGCAAAACCTAACAAGGTTATACCTCATTAAACAGGAACAACGTTGGCCACAACGTCCTCCCGTGCTGTGGAGGGGGCGGCAGGCTCTGGCCACTGAAAGGGCCACGCTCCCTTCGCCTCCCAAGCTCAGAGCCAGAATGCCCCACTCAATCCCTCCTTGCAGTGCTGCCTTCTCTACCCTAGGGCGGCTCTTTCTTCAGGTGGCCTCCTGACACCTGCTTCTGACAGCCTCCAGAGACCAGGTTTGCCTGCCGTAAACAGGATGCGTTTCTCAGTACCACCTAACAGATGGAGATACCTGGCCAACATCTCTTTCTCCATTAGACTCAAAAGCTCTGGATGGTAAGGATACTATGACTTCTTTGCTACTGTTTGCCCCCCCAGCACAGCGCTCAGCACACACTGGGCACTTAATTCACGATTAACAGAAGGAACTGGAGCTCTCACCCAGTGATTGAGCAGGGCTGCTGCTCCCCGGTGAGTGGGCCTCCCCTCAAGCTCTTAAGAGCCCACGCACAGGACTTCAGCTTCTCAGCAACTGGGGCTTCATCTCCCACCCCCTTGCGGCAAGATTCTCACATCCCAGCCTACTGTCCAGCTGGAAGATACTCCTCAGTCCAGGATTTCACTTCCTTGCCCCTCCCTCAGACCCCAAGCTCAGGACCCACCCAGACCAGCATCCTGTACTCCTCTCTTTCCCTTACTATCTCCTACCCTGGGCCACCTGTGTTGCTGCAAAAGCAGAGGCTGACTCGCATTTGAGGCCAAGGCAGTGACATGTAAAACACATTAAAACTATGCCCCCAGGGGCAGCCCCAGTGGCTCAGCAGTTTAACATGCCTTCAGCCCAGGGCCTGATCCTGGAGACAAGGGATTGAGTCCCACATTGGGCTCCCTGCATGGAGCCTGCTTCTCCCTTTGCCTTTGTCTCTGCCTCTCTCTTTCTCATGAATAAATAAATAAAATCTTAAAAAAAAAAACCCACAAGGGATCCCTGGGTGGCGCAGCAGTTTGGCGCCTGCCTTTGGCCCAGGGCACGGTCCTGGAGACCCGGGATCGAATCCCACGTCGGGCTCCCGGTGCATGGAGCCTGATTCTCCCTCTGCCTGTGTCTCTGCCTCTCTCTCTCTCTCTGTGACTATCATAAATAAATAAAAATTTAAAAAAAAAAAAAACACACAAAAAACTATGCCCCCCTAACCTGCCAAATAAAGTAAAATAAAACAACATTTCCACCAGAAAAGCTAAACCCAAACTGTGCAGCCCTTGCTCAGAGACACTGAGGGGCATGCCTATTTGAGACTTCCTGTGCATTCCTTCCCAGGCCTCTGGACCCATAAAGACAAGCACTCCGAAGATCCTCACATCAGAGGACATAGCCAGGGCCCTCCTTTAACAGGATGGATCTTGACTGATGCCAAAAAGTTCCCAAAAGTCAAACCTCTCAGCGGAAAAGAACAGTCATGCCTGCAGACACGCAAAAGCACGTGAGCCAAGGTTGATGAGGCCAAAGAAATCCGCTTGTATCAGTTGGCTCTTATTCTAAGTTTCTGCCCTAAACTGGAAACAATCCAAATCTTCAGTTGGTAACTAGACAAACTTAGACCATCCATACAACAGAGTACTTAATACTCAGCAACAAACAGCAATGAACTATTCTCAAAATGTGAATTCCAAAAGCATTACGATAAGTGGAAAAAACTCAGATTCAGATTACGCACACACACACACACACAGGTGTGTTTAAAAGCTATATACCGTATAAACCTACTCACAGAACATTCTTTTTTTTTTTTTTTTTAAGATTTTATTTATTCATTCATGAGACAGAGAGAGAGAGAGAGAAAGGCAGAGACACAGGCAGAGGGAGAAGCAGGCTCCATGCAGGGAGCCTGACGTGGGACTCAATCCTGGGTCTCCAGGATCACACCCTGGGCTGAAGGCGGCGCTAAACCACTGAGCCACCCAGGCTGCCCAGAACATTCTCAAAAATGCAAACTATAGGGATCCCTGGGTGGCGCAGCGGTTTGGCGCCTGCCTTTGGCCCAGGGCGCGATCCTGGAGACCCGGGATCGAATCCCGCGTCGGGCTTCCGGTGCATGGAGCCTGCTTCTCCCTCTGCCCGTGTCTCTGCCTCTCTCTCTCTCTCTGTGACTATCATAAATAAATAAAAATTTAAAAAAAAATGCAAACTATAGGGACAAAAACTGGGTGGTTGCCAGAGGTGGAGAATGGGGAGGCAATGACGGTATAAAAACACAGTTTTGGGGGTGATAGAGGAGTGAAATTTCCTCTATCTGGATGTAGGAGTGGCTATGTCACTGTGTTTGCCACAACTCACAGAACTTCACACTAAACAGGAAGAATTTTGCTGGATCCAAACCACACCTTGACAAAATTGACTATAAAAAAGTGAATTGGGGATCCCTGGGTGGCGCAGCGGTTTGGCGCCTGCCTTTGGCCCAGGGCACGGTCCTGGAGACCCAGGATCGAATCCCACATCGGGCTCCCGGTGCATGGAGCCTGATTCTCCCTCTGCCTGTGTCTCTGCCTCTCTCTCTCTGTGACTATCATAAATTTAAAAAAAAAAAAAAAAAAAAAAAAAAGGTGAATTGTAAAAAAGGATTTAAGGGTAAAGAACCAAGGGTGCCTAGGTGGCTCAGTTGGTTAAGCTTCTGCCTTTGGCTCAGGTCATTATCTCAGGGTCCTGGGATCAAGCCCTACATTGGGCTCCCTGCTCAGTGGGGACTCTGCTTCTCCCTCTCCCTTTGCCCCTCGCCTTGCTTTCGTTCTGTGTCAAATAAATAAAATCTAAATAAATAGTGAACCAAAATGTGTGCAACTTACTATCAAATGGTTCAAGGAAAAAAGAAATGCCCACAGACAGACATATAAAATAAAATGGGAGTGAGTGAGAAAGCAAATGGGGCAAAATATTGCTAACATATGAATCTGTTTTGTTTTGTCTTGTTTTAAAGATTTTATTCACTTATTCATGAGAGACACAGAGAGAGGCAGAGACACAGAGGAGAAGCAGGCTCTATGCAGGAAGCCCGACGTGGGACCCCATCCTGGGACTCCAGGATCATGCCCTGGGCCGAAGACAGGCACCAAACCACTGAGCCACCCAGGGATCCCCCTAACATATGAATCTGGGTGGAGAAACAAGCATGTTTCCAAACCTGGAATGGATGGCTGGAAACTAATATGTCTGGACAGATAGAAATGCCTCCCTGAAGTGGGAGGGGAGGGAGGGAGGCAGGCCGGAAGGGTGGATGGATGGAAAGACAGACAGACAGACGGACCTAGGGGTTTCCTCGAACTGCAGCATGAAGGAATGGCTGACAGGATGCTGTCATCAGGATTAACCTAGGTCCTTCTTAAAATTTGTCCTACGTTTTACTTTCTTTTTTTTTAAAGATTTATTTATTCATGACAGACACACAGAATGGGAGAGAGAGAGGCAGAGACATAGGCAGAGGGAGAAGCAGGCTCCATACAGGGAGCCTGACGTGGGACTCGATCCCAGGTCTCCAGGATCTGAAGGCAGCGCTAAACTGCTGAGCCACCTGGGCTGCCCTACATTTTACTTTCTGACCACTGAAATTCAATTTTGGTATTTTTTTTTCCAGGTTCGACACTCATTTTTAATCTACTGAGACTTGCTTTTAGTTTGGGGAGGATATTGATGCTTTTAAAACATTTGTAGGGATCCCTGGGTAGCACAGCGGTTTAGCGCCTGCCTTTGGCCCAGGGCACGATCCTGGAGACCCAGGATCGAATCCCACGTTGGGCTCCCGGTACATGGAGCCTGCTTCTCCCTCTGCCTGTGTCTCTGCCTCTCTCTCTCTCTGTGTGACTATCATAAAAAAAAAAAAAAAAATTGTAACTGGAAGGTGAAATGTGCCATCTTGGTTTGCTTTGGTTTTTTGTTTTGTTTTGTTTTTTTAATTTATGATAGGCACACAGTGAGAGAGAGAGAGAGAGAGAGGCAGAGACACAGGCAGAGGGAGAAGCAGGCTCCATGCACCGGGAGCCTGATGTGGGATTCGATCCCGGGTCTCCAGGATCGCGCCCTGGGCCAAAGGCAGGCGCTAAACCGCTGCGCCACCCAGGGATCCCCTGCTTTGGGTTTTCACAAGAGCGTCTAGAGCTGGGCTGCCCAAGGTGGTGGTCAATAGCCACGTGTGGCTACTGAGGCTCAAAATGTAGGTCCAAACTGACATGGGCTCTAAGTAGAAAATAAGCACCAGATTCCAAAGACACGGGAGTGCTAACAACAACAATAAAAATGTCTTATTAAATTCTTGTTACTTGCTGAAATAATACTTTGAACACAGACATACTAAATAAGATATGTTGTTTTACCTTAATTTCATCGGTTTCTTTCTTTCTTTTTCTTTCTCTCTCTCTCTCTTTCAATTTTATTTATTTATTCAAGAGAGACAGAGAAAGGCAGAGACATAGGCAGAGGGAGAAGCAAGCTCCCTGCAGGGAGCCCAATGTGGGACTCAATCCTGGGATTCCAGGATCACACCCTGAGCTGAAGGCAGACGCTCAACCGCTGAGCCACTGGGTGTCCCTCATCGGTTTCTTTCTACTTTTACATAGCTACTAAAAAAATTTTAATTACATACATGGCTTGGCTGTGTTCCTACTTGAAAAGCAATGGTTTAGAGCACCAACTCTGAACTTCCAGCAGGGGGCAGGCCTCAGCCAGCTACTGTTCAACTCTCCATGTGAGAAAGGAAACAAATACTTTCCCCACTCCTTACCCTGTCAGGTCATCCCAGACTCTAGAAATCTATCAGTTATAAAACCCTATTCCTAAGGTGCTAAGTTCCCCAGAGGGCCTGGTATGAGGAGAATTTTTCCCACTGCCCTACCCCTGAGCAGGAGGTGTTCTCTTGCTCTGCTTGTGCAGGGCTTCCCCTTGACTCCTTGGGCAGCCCCAGCACCAAACAGGGCAGTCACTGATGGACTCGTGAAACTCCCTCACATACTACTTATACAATCAGTCCTTTGCATTCTCAAAAAACCAGCCAATTCCTTCAAACCTTCTGTGCAACAGGAAGTAGAAAGCCTTCATCTGAAAGGACCCGACTAGTGTTCTCTCTCACGGTTCCCTTGCACATGTTAGGAAACCAAGGACAGGAACCTGAGGCCCCCGGAGTCCTCACAACTCCCCATGGAAAACAGATACCAGGATGAGTTTTGAACATCACCTGATTGGGGGAAAAGGCCTCATGATGTACCAGAGAGGTCGCTCCCTCCCGAAAATCTCCAATTACTCTGTCTCCTGTGTAATATAATCCTTAAGTCTTGGGAGGAAATGTCTGACATTTCCATCAAACTACAACCCATCCAAATCTCTTTTCTCCTCCTTGCTATCATGGGCTCTCTCAAAGATAGCTAACAACACAAAATATCTCTACAGGCGACATTCCTTTTACTTAAGCAGCCCCCCTGGGAACATGCCCTGGCCCGAGACAAGATACAGGCGTGAGGACCTCAATTCTCCCCCCAGAAAAAAATGCAGCCCCACACCATCCCTAAAATGGCCCAGCTCCTGATCAAGGCAGGTGGGGGGAGTTCTGGTCCCCCACAGAAGCCAGGGGATGGGAGGCTGTGCCAGGTCAATGGAAGGTGTGCCCCTGGCTCCCCTGGAGGCAACTATAGTCCCAAATTCCCCACAAATATTACCTTATCCAAGAGCTCTCTTGTCTCCTCAGTCAGGGGGTCATGAGAGAACATGCAGTCATCACCATTAATGCAGTTCCCGGTTGTATGGTACAATTTACATGGAAAATCACGTTCAGGGCACGTTAAGGAAAAGCATCAGCCCTCCTGGAACCCACCAGAGGGCAGAATCCAACCCTTTTTGTTTTGGAGATGAAGAAACAGAGGCCCAGGGAGGTGTTAACTGACTCGCTCAATCGCTTGGGGTTGCAAGTTGTTGGCAGCAGACCCACAGATGAGACTCCTGCTCTGGAGGGCTTCCCGCCCCACTACACAGGCTTTGGGGCCTTTGTCTCTGGATCCCCACTCAACAGGAATAATAAAGGTTAATGATTTGCCCAAGGTCACACAGCCCACTGGAAAAATCTCAGGAAGGTTCAAGACAAGGGTATGGCCAGTCTCGAGATTATGTATAAAGAAACCAGAGCACATGTGCATCCGCTTCCCCATCTGCAGGACGGGGACACCACTCCGCCACAAGACGGTTCAATGAGACCAAGACACACTGAATGCATGTCACAGCGCTGGCCCAGAGAGCAAAGAAGTGTGTGCAGTGCAGGTCGGCTGCTATGGGCAGTGAGGAAGGAAGAAGTGGTAAGCATTGCATCCCATAAGAGGTGAGCGCCAAAGGATATCGTGCATGTAGGGGCAGTTCTCGGCTCTGGCACAGAACCCAGTGATGTAAAACTTGCACAGTTCTCGCTTCTTTGGTAGCTCGATGTCGTGGCTAAAATTGCAGTGGTCTCCCTGGAAGGAAAGCAAGGAAAGGGTAAGGTGGGTGGGGGGTGGGAGGGAACGGGAAGCCCTGTTGAAGCCCATCTGAAAGGGGAGGTACTACTCTGTCACCGCTGGAGTGCAGAGGGACCACAGTGATGAATCCCCCACAGGAAAGGGTGGGGCTCACCGACATGGTTTCCCACGAACCTGCAAGTTCTGACAAGACCTGTGCCCTCTTCTCTTGGGCCCTGCCTCCCTTTCCCTGTCCCCATTCCACCAGGCTCCACTCCACTGCCCCTCACCCTCAATGCTCCTTTATCACTCTCTCCCTCTTCTCACCTGCATGCTGTTTTTCAAGATGGGCTGCACAGAGGCCAGTATCCAGCCCCATGCTTCTTCCTTCCTAACCTAACCTCCGTTTTGTTTGGGAAGAATGTGCCCCCAGCTGAAAAAGTACATTCCCCAGCCTCTCTGGAAGTCCTGGTCAATGAAATGTAGGCCAAAGTCCCCAGGGAGGACAATGCTGACTCAAAAGAAACACCCCTTCACCCATCTTTCCTCTTAGCCCGTAGATGGGAGGATACCCAGAGGCTCAGCGGCCACTATGGAACCATGAGGACAAAAGCCACATGCTCAAAGATGGTGGACATTCCTGAAGCGGAAGGAGTCTCCCCAGAGTACCAGTGACCAGGGCACCAACCTCCTTCAGCGGGACGACGTCTGAACATTTACACTACTGGAGCTCAATTTTAACATCATCCACAGTCAGACACACTGAGAACACATACCCGAGTGAACAAAATAGAGAAACCGTTCAGGATAGCTATCTCCCCTTACTCTCATGAATGGCTACTTATCTTTCTACGGATTTACTATAAGCTTCTGAAAAGAACATAAATTGAGACTGTATAAGGAATATTTTACACATACACACTGGTCTGAAATATGTATTTTTCTCTAAAGCCTATACTGGGGTGCAATATTCCCTGAGCACATGTGCACCAGTATCTGTCCACTGCCATCGTATTTGAATAATAAGGTGGCTGGCTGAACTCATACAGGGTTATGCCCTCAGAACTCTATGGTCATTAGCTTATCTTCTGGTACTGAATGCTGCTGTGCAATTCAAGGCTGGCCTGATTCGCTCCACCTCCTCCTCTATCTGGAAATCTTAATAATTCCCTCTCCGACATCATTAAAAATCAATAACTCAACCAGGACGTATTACATCTTTATATTGGTATCAATCTTAATACGTTTGAGGCCATTTGGACTGGCTGAAAATTCTGGCCCCCAAACCAAGAAAAACAAAACACCAAAAAACAAGCCAAATGTGTTATCACACTCTGGCTCCTCAGTCTCTCTGAGAAGACAAGAGAACAGAGTCTTCCCAAGCATCTCTTGGTAGTCAGTCAATCCCACCCTTACCCGGCCATGGCCCCCAATTAGCATAGCCTGTAGAACGTTCCCAGAAGCCCGAGCATCCTCTGGGAGGTTGCTGCCCTGCTCCCACGCCCAGGTACTTTAACTGGCCCCTTACCCACGTACACCGCCCCTCCACGAAGTATTTGCAGATGACTTTGCCTTTCTTGTCAGACTGCTGGTGGGGCTTGTCATGGTCACTCCTCCGGTAGCTCCCACCACCATCCTATTAGGAACACAGTGAGTGAGCATAAAGGGCAAGGAGCAGGAGGGGTTGAGGAGGGGGTGATGGAGACTGGCAAACAGGTTCTGAGGGACTATAACAGAAGGTGGCCACTGAGGATGAGCATTCCCTTGACAAAAGAATCTTCACGTAGCAAGAGTAGTGGCCAGCACGTTGCCACCAGCACCAAGGCCACGTGGGGTCTTAGCCCCATGGTATGGAGTGCTGGCGCTCACACAGGAAAAGCTCTGGCACGTGGAGTTGCTGGCAACTGAAGAGTACCACATAACCATACAGAACATATTCTCCTCCTAAAGGCAGTATGCGCGTCTTCCTGTCAAACTCTCCAGGCTACCTGGATGAGTCACCTGGAACCTTCCCCACCTCAGAGACTCAGGTGCTACAGAGATGTGGTTTCAAAAACAGAGGGTCTCACCAGCAGCCCCCACCCCCAGAGATGTTTAGTGCTCAACGGCCCCACAGAGAACAGCTAATGAAAGCTGGACAGCATTGGCTAGAGGCCAACTCATTTGAGAAAAAAAAATCCAGGAAGGGGGCCTTGGCCAAACCTATCAAATCCAAATGAAGAGTCAACTCACGCCCATGTCCTCGTCATAGAAGTCTTCATCATCGTTCATTCCGCCCTTGTTCATCCCTCCTCGGCTGCCACCTCGACCACGACCCCGGCCCATCCCTTTCCCTCGACCTCGGGAACCCCGACCGCGGCCTCGACTTAACCCTGCAGAGAAATGGCATTCACCTGCTGTTTCTCCCCAGGATCCAAACCCAGCAGCTGCCCAAAGGAGCCCGACCGACCCGTCACCTCCAGGGCCCTCTGCCCACCTCGTCCTCGGCCATCCTTGGACCGGCGGTACTGGTTCAGCTCCTTGGAGTATTCGTCATAATCCTCATCTCCCATTGGTTCCTCACTTTCTCCATACTGGGATTCCAGAAAAGAGGAGAAAGGCGAGTGTCACGTGGGGAACAATGAACACTGTCCCTAACTGTACTTTCTGCTCCTTTCTGTCTTTTGTTTATGCAGGTCAACAGGAGACTCAGAAGGGCCAGTGAAAAACTCAGAGTGACCTGCCTGTGCCCCCTCTTCACAGGCCACAGCCAAAGCTGGGAGAGGGATGTGGGGGGTGGTTCTAATCCTCTCCCTCAAGCTCTTAACTCCTACAACTCCCAATTCCGGGGGCAAATCCAACAGGGAGCCTCTACACAATGGACAGCTGTGCAGCTGTAACAAAGAGCAGACTCACTGCATACTGGCATAGAAAGGTCTTGGGCGGGGACAGAGCGATCAATGTGGAAGCTGTGTGTGTATGCAGGGGGCATGAATAAATAAGCACCTGACTGTAAAGACCTAAAACTTCTTTTTTAGGATTTTATTTATTTGAGAGAGGAGAAGAGAGGGATAAACAGGCTCCCCTGCTGAGCAGGGAGACCAAAATGGGGCTTGGTCCCAGGATCTCAAGACCATGACTTGAGTTGAAGGCAGATGCTTAACCAACTGAGCCACCCAGGTGCCCCTAGGCCTAAAACTTTTTCTAGGAGACACTCAGGAAACTTGTCTTTGGAGATGGGAATGAAGTTGCTGGGGGGAGCAAGGGGAGGGAGATGTTTTCACAGCTTTGGCACTTTTTCAATTTTGAACTGCATGAAGGCTTTCCTCTATTTCAAAATAAGAAATGAATGTTGAGACACAGCCCTGCTGTCCAACACCCTCCTTCCACTGCAGTCTGTATAGACAGCTCCCAAAAAGTGCCCATCAGCCCCCCATGTTCCCTGCCACTACTCCTCCGGGGCTGGAGAAGAGCTTACTTCCATTTCTTCCTCATAGAAGTCTTCCTCATCCTCAGGGTGGTCTCCCACGGAGCCTCTGCCCCTTCCGCGGCTGCCTCTGCCCATGCCTCGGCCTCGAGACCCTCCACGACTGCCTCGACCCCGGTAGCCTCTGCCACGGCCTCGGCTGCCTGCAAGGTGATTCAGACGGTAAGTGCCCCGAGTGGGAGCAGATCTCATCAGCAAGAGAGACATGAGCCCATTTTCTGCCCCTGATGTCAGTCATGTCCTCTTCCTCCTCCTCAAGCCTTCTTAGCAGCTCCAGGTAGCTTGTCCCATCGCCCCCACATGCCCTCACTAGCGGTCCTCAGGCCTCAGCATTCTGGATGCTCACCGGCTATACTGCCACAGAGGCACCTGACCACTGTAGGTGCACTCAAATGTCCAATACAGGGACTACTAGCCACACATGGCTATGGAGTCCCCAGAACATGACCAGACTAAGAGATGCTAGAGGATGAACCACCACTGGATTTACAGGACTCAGATTAAAAAAAAAGTTAGAGAATATAAAACACTACATTTGTCTGTCTGGATAATGTGTTAAAATTAAGATTCTGAATGTGTTAGATACATACATAAAATATACTGTTAAAATTAATGTTTCTTTTTACTCATTAAAAAAAATTTATTTATTTATTCATGAGAGAGACAGAGAGAGAGAGGCAGAGACATAGGCAGAGGGAGAAGCAGGCTCCATGCAGGTAGCCCGATGCAGGACTTGATCCCAGGATCTCGCGATCACAACCTGAGTCAAAGACAGAAGATGTTCAACCACTGAGCCATCCAGGCATCCCCCCTTTTGCTTTCTTAACATGACTACTAGAAAATTCTAAATTATGCGGTGACTTGTATTAAATTTCTATTGGACAACAGTGGTCTAGAATTTCCCCCAAAGAGCACAGCTCATCCAAGGAGGTGTCCAAGAACAAATTCCGAAGAAAGACTAAATGAAAGGCCACTCAAACAATAAGTTGTGCCTTAGGCAGGGCCAAGAACCCCTGAGCTAGAAGATCCCCAGAGCCCTACCCCCTTGTAGGTTGCAAAACTTTGCGGGCAGGAGATGGTTCTAAGAGGCCAGGTCTCTGGTGCTCCACCCTTCCCCACCATTGTCCTAAATGCCACAGGTTTAGGGTTCAGAGGTGTGGCAGTCCCACCTTGTCAGGTGATGGGAGCTGGGAGGAGGGGGGGAGGGAGCTGGGGCAGCCAGCTGTCAGTGACCCTGGCCTAGATCAGATGGAAGCTATCCCTTCTCTCTTGCCTGCAACTGACCAGGAAGTGAATGAAGAAAACAGCCTTGGACCATGTGGGCACCTCCCAACCAGCCTGGCTCCATCCCCAGCTCAGCCTGAGCACTGAGGCTCTTCCAAGATGGCTCACTCCACCGCCCCTGGAGTCCCCTGCCCTATTGGTACAGCTCCAGCCCTTCTCCTCCTCTTGGAGCTCCGAAATGAACGACTCCCATAACTCCCAACTCTTCCACACGCGAGGCTCTGCAGCCCCGACCCACAGGTTGGTCCCCCTCCACAGTATCGCCCCAGCCCCTGGTCTGCCCCCACGACCCCACACCCTGCAGGGGCAGCAGGGCCTCACCTCGGCCCCGGCTGCTGCCCTCCTTGGCACGCCGGTACTGGTTCAGCTCTTTGGTGAAGTCGTCATAGTCCTCCTTGCCCATGTCCTCCTCCTCATCACCCTCATACTCGCCGTACTGCTCGTTCTCATAGTCTTCGTACATGCCATAGCCTTTGCTGTCCATCTTGGAGTAGGCCTTCTTGGGCAGAGATGTGGTGTGCGAAGGGGCATACTGCTGGTGGGACTGACAGGGAGAGGGGGGTGAGCAGGCCCCAGGGCCCTGAGTCCAGATCACCAAGGGCCCCACTGCTCCTGAAACTGACACAGCAGTCTGGGTGTCTCTGCCACTTGGGGGACGAGATGCCAGCCCTGGCTATTTGGGGGACTAGTTCCAACGTGAGGGAGAGCTGGGCGGTGGGCCCAGATGTTTCCATGCTTCAGAAAATGCCATGGCTTGAAAGAAAATGGAGACACACAGACCCCGGGATTCCTGAAGAACTGGGGAGGGAAGAGAAAGGGCTAATTCCCAGGGATATGCAGCAATCTTCTTTGGGGAGGAGGCCTAGTAGGCAACAGAGGCTTTTTTTTTTTTTTTTTTAAAGTAATCTCTAGGCCTGGACATGGGACTCTAACTTAACCCTGAGATCTGAGCCCCCTACTCAGCTGGGAGCCTGCTTCCCCCTCTGCCCCTCCCCCACCTTGCTCCTGTGCTCTCTCCACTCTGATAAATAAAATCTTTTTTTTTTTTTAAGATTTTATTTACTTATTCATGAGAGACACAGAGAGAAAGAAAGAGGCAGAGACACAGGCAGAGGGAGAAGCAGGCTTCATGCAGGAAGCCTGACATGGGACTCGATCCCAGGTCTCCAGGATCACGACCTGGACTGAAGGTGATGCTAAACCGCTGAGCCACCCAGGCTGCCCTGATAAATAAAATCTTAAACAAACCCTGAACCAGCCAGGCCCTCCAAGAGGGGTGCTCCTTGGTCAAAATTTTCTTGGGGGGGGGAGCCCCGGTGGCGCAGCGGTTTAGCGCCGCCTGCAGCCTGGGGTGTGATCCTGGAGACCCAGGATTGAGTCCCACATCAGGCTCGCTGCATGGGGCCTGCTTCTCCCTCTGTGTGTGTCTCTGCCCCCCTCTCTGTGTCTCTATGAATAAATAAAATTAAAAAAAAATTTTTTTTTTCTTGGGGCCTTGGAATTCAATTAATGACCTACTTGGCAACCAAACTAGAAAATCATTTTGAATGATGCTTTCCAGAGCACGCTAGTGTCAAGAGATACTGGATGAAGTTAGATACACACACACACAGAGGCACCAAAATGGCCTTCAGAAGGTAAATGGATAAACAAACTGTGGTCCATCCAGACAATGGAGTATTATTCAGCAGTTAAAAGAATTGAGCCAGGGATCCCTGGGTGGCGCAGCGGTTTGGCACCTGCCTTTGGCCCAGGGCGCGATCCTGGAGACCCGGGATCGAATCCCACATCGGGCTTCCGGTGCATGGAGCCTGCTTCTCCCTCTGTCTGTGTCTCTGCCTCTCTCTCTCTCTGTGACTATCATAAATAAATAAAAATTAAAAGAAAAAAAAGAATTGAGCCAATGAAGCATACGGCTAAGAAAAGACAAGGGGAAACCACAAACATATACTGTTATGTAAAAAAAAAAAACTGGTCTGAAAAAAATTATACACTGTAAGGAATCCAACTATCTGACATCCTGGAAAAGGCAAAAATGCAGAGACAGAAAAAGGCTTCTGGCTTCCAAAGGCTCAGGAAGCAGAGCGGAGGTAAAGCATAGGGGATTTTTAGGAAATTGAAACTCTTTTATATGATGGTATATGGTGAATGCATAACATTAAGCCTTAGTCAAAGACAAAGAATCATAAAACACAAAGTGGAGAGCTTAATGTAAACCACAGGCTCCAATTCACAAAAACACATCAAGATTGGTTCATAGGGCCTGCCTTTGCCTCAGGGCATGATCCTGGAGTCATGGGATCGAGTTCCATATCAGGATCCCTACACAGAGCCTGCTTCTCTCTGCCTATGTCTCTGCCTCTCTGTGTCTTTCATGAACAAATTTTTTTTTGTTTTTAATTTATGATAGTCACAGAGAGAGAGAGAGAGGCAGAGACACAGGCAGAGGGAGAAGCAGGCTCCATGCACCGGGAGCCTGACGTGGGATTCGATCCCGGGTCTCCAGGATCGCGCCCTGGGCCAAAGGCAGGCGCCAAACCACTGCGCCACCCAGGGATCCCTTTCATGAACAAATAAATAAAATCTTTAAAAATGATTGGCTCATGGAGGTGCCTGGGTGACTCACTTTTTTTTTTTTAATTCTTTTTTTTTTATTTATTTATGATAGTCACACACAGAGAGAGAGAGAGAGGCAGAGACACAGGCAGAGGGAGAAGCAGGCTCCATGCCAGGAGCCCGACGCGGGACTTGATCCCGGGACTCCAGGATCGTGCCCTGGGCCAAAGGCAGGCACCAAACTGCTGAGCCACCCAGGGATCCCCTAGGTCAGGTTTTTTTTGTTGTTGTTGTTTTGTTTTCTTTTTTAAAGATTTTTATTTATTTATTCATGAGAGACATGCAGAGAGAGACAGAGGCAGAGACACAGGCAGAGGGAGAAGCAGGCTCCATGCAAGGAGCCCAAAGTGGGACCCGATCCCAGGTCTCCAGAATCACACCCTGGGCTACAGGTGGCGCTAAACCGCTGCGCCACTGGGGCTGCCCCCTAGGTCAGGTTTAAAGTTTGAATCCCCACTAGCAGATCAACATCAACTGTAATATTGTACAATAAATTATCCGTTGGGCTTGATGATGTGGAGTCACAGGATACTTGGGGTATTTTTTAGAGCTACTATAGCTTTATTATTATATTTTTTAAATTTTTACTTATTTATTAATGAGACACACACACAGAGAAAGAGAGAGGCAGAGACACAGGCAGAGGGAGAAGCAGGCTCCATGCAGGGAGTCTGATGTGGGACTCGATCCCAGGTCTCCAGGATCAGGCCCTGGGCTGAAGGCGGCGCTACACTGCTGAGCCACCCGGGCTGCCCAGCTACTATAGCTAGTTAGCTAGCTAGCTTTATTTATTTATTTATTTATTTGTTTGTTTGTTTGTTTATTACTATAGCTTTAAAAGCACTTTTTATCTAACCTTGAAAATCCATGTGATTTTTCTTACAGGTTTTGCTGGGGGGTGAGGGGGACAGCATACAAACCAAGTAATTTAAATGCACATCTAAGTTCAGTGTTATGATAGAATGAACATTTGACTTCTGACTCCGCAGCACTTGAGATCATTTATTCCCGTAAAACCATTTCATTCTCTAGCCAATTCTCCACAAATGGTTGTTTCTGAACAGTGGCAGTCAGCCAGCTGTGACAGGGATAAATTAGGAGCTTTCTTGGAGATGGGGACATACTGAGTCTTGGTGAAGTCTTAAGAGCTTGGCCAATGGCTCGAACCCCAACTCCTGCACTATAGGGCTACAACCTGGCTGGTTTCCCAGGTCTGTTTCCTCCCTATAACATGGGGATAAAAACAAAACAGGATCTCATCTTGCAGGCTGAAAAATCCACGTGAAGTGCCATGCAAGAGTTCCCAGCACACTGACAAGTGCTCAGCAAACACGGACCATTTATCCATGCCTGTCCTCCATCCCCGCTCCCAGCATCATGGGGGCCCCTGAAGAGCAAGTACTCACAGGCGCGTATGGGGGGCTATACTCCCGGTACTTGCGGTGCCCCTTCTCGCTGGGACTGAAATCCGAGTCATCGGAGAAGTCCGAGAAGTCATCGCTGGAAGAAGCATGGCGCTGCAGGGACAGGGGAAGTGGACTTAGTCACTGTGCTGCAGGCGGGCCTCTCTCTGGCAGAGTCGGCCCAGGGACAGACACTACTAGAATGTGCCAAAAGGGCTCTGCTCTCTCCTTGAAGCACCTCGCCTAGGGGCGTTTAGCGGCAATGGAGCATGAACAATGGAGCATGAACTACCGACTCTTTAAGAGAAAAAAATAACGCTCTTTATCCAATTTGGGGAAGGAATAAACAGCACTATTAAGAGTGCCCTCCGGTCTATGAGACAAGCTTGGGCCCTGAGGCTCTGAGCTAGGCCTGGTGCCAGGCAGATGCCAGTCCCAGCACACCTTCTCCGACCTACTTTGTGCTTGGATTTCCTCCTCTTCTTCGATCTCCTCTTCTCCTTCTCCCGCTCTTTCTTCCGCTTTCGCTTCAGTCTCCTGTGAGACTTCTCCTCATCCGAGTCGCTATGGTGCTTTTCCCCCTTCTCCTTCCGGCTCCTCTCGGGCCCTCCAGAGGTGTCCTGGGTCTCCTCGGCCCCATCATCTTCCAGTTCACCTTCTTCCAACTCACCATCCTCCCTATAAACCAACCCCAAAGCCAAAGTGAACCTGCGGTGTGAGAGGAACCATCTGAGGGCTCTCGGCTGGCCAGGGCTGATAGGAACAGAGAGCCCAAGTGCTGTAAGTAAGGCCTTCCCTGGGAGGATGTGGGAGCCACTGCCTCATGTCTCATCCCTATCCTCCCCTCAAAGGGACTGTGTGGCCTGCTTTCATGTAAGCGGGATGGGGGCAGTGGGTTGGGGTCTCGCAACGCTGGATTTTAAAGGTCCTGCCACTGATATTGGGATGACTCTAGGCCAGGACTTTTCAAAGTGCTCCAGAGGACTAGAGTTCTAAGAAGAAAAGTGGTAAGGCTCTGCGGCCAAATGATGTGAGGAAGTTTCCATCCTGGGGCTTCATAGTGCTCAATGCTCTAACGGAAGTTCCTGTAAGTCTTACCATCAAAAAACCTGTACAACCCCGTGTTAGAGCATTTCCAAAGCTTACTTGGCCACAGAGGCTGCTTGTCTCAAGGAAACATGGACTAGCGTTCACCCCAGAATGCACCAGTGCACAGTGGCCAGAGGTCACAGGCGTGGCTGCAGCCCTACGGATGAGTCCTGTGAGCTGAGGGTGAGGGTTGTGGGCAGTGGAGACAGAGCCATGGCTCTGAACCAGGGAGTGGTCCCCCAGACTCCTGGGCCCTATCCATGGTCAGGCCTGGACTGGGCTAGAGGATAGCACATATTTACCAAAGCCCCAAAAAGAGCTAGTGATAAGCTCTGGTCTCCAGGTTTCAAGGCCTGACCTACACCCTCAACTGCATAGCTCTGGGCTGGGGAGTCGGGGAGCAACTGAGCAGCTAGGGAAGGGGTAAGGGAAGGGTCTCAGGTTCCAGAGCCCTCCTAAGGCCCTCTCCTAACAGCTGCGAGAGTGCCCACAGAATGGATTCTCCCCACCCTACTGCTCTGAGCCCGGGTATCCCTTCTGGTTATCACTTTCCTCACATCATCCCCATCCCCAGTACTTTAAAAAATTAAAGCACTCTCCAGACATGACCGATACTGCCAACAGGACATTCTAAATACCTATATATCTCCAGGGTGGGATAGAAGTGAGGGGATAAACAGGGTTAAGAAGGAAAGCAACTGGAAAAAGAATCCAGTTTTTACCACCACAGACACAGTTCTCACAAGTACAGGAATTGGTTTAAAAAAAATAAAGTGTTCAAATCTTGAAAAAGCTCCGAGAGTTCCTCATGCATGACCATGGAAGAGTATGTGAGACAATGTAAAAGTTCCTTCCTTCTCTATTAACTAGGACCCTAAATGAGACCGAAGAGAACAGAAACAGTGGTGTAATGAACCCAGGACCAAAAAGGCTAACCACAAAGGGAATTTATTCAGGCAGAAAAGATCTCGCTGCTCAGGTGGGACCGGGGTCAGTGTGAAAACAAGCTCACTAGGAGAGGAGAGCGGGCCCCAGAGCCTCCAAAGGTTCTACCAGACAAACACACTGGTGATTCTCCCAGAGTCCTTCACGCCCTGTCGCTCATGCCACCCCCTTTTGTCCACCCCCGGGGTGGTGCTGCTCCCCAGATGTCAAGGATGCTGGCAAGAGGAGCCTCTTTTAACCCTAATTCCAATTCAATGGGGTCAGGTTAGCTTAAAACCCTAGTGGCCCCAAGCCCACAGATACCCCAGCAGAGGTCAAGAGCAGCTCTCACATACACAAGGCAGGACACAATATTTGTTCTGATGTTTCAAAGGCATCATCAGGGAGATGACCGATGGGCGCCTCAATGGGTGCCTTGTGTGGCTTTCTTGCAAACTGCCAGATTGGGGTGGGGGAGGTGGTCAGCCCCACAGGAAGACACAGAGTAAAGCTGGGAGGAGCCTGCATTCCTGACAAATGAGGCACCTTCCAGCACCAGCTTGGGTGTGGCACCAGCTTGGGTGTGTCCCACAGGGCAGGGTGTGGGACGGAGCTGCCTGGGCTGGAGTGGCCTTGCCCACAGTAAAAGTACCACCCAACTGGGGAAACTGGTTTTGGCAAGCTCACCAACCAGAGGGAGTGGCTGTTACAGGGCAGCATGGCTGAAGTTGAGGAGGACCGTGGTAGCAGGCGGTCGGGGGGTGGGGGTGGCATTGGGGGTGTGTGGGGGCACTGGGTGGGGGGGTTTACTGGAGAGCAAACGTGATGTGCATCCTTGCTGGGAACACCTGAAGGCAGGCCAGGTCACCACACCTCAAGAGAAACACAGGGAGAGGCAGCCAGACCATATAGACAGACATTATGGAGCTGAGGAAGGCCCTGAGACAGAGGCTAGCCTTCCATGAAGAAAAGCTAAAAAGAGCGGCACTCTTGACAATAGTCTGGAAAGGAAAAAGCTCAGAGGGACATGGTGAAAATTACTCAGAAGCCCAGGGCAGGCAGACAATAACTGCCTGGGCTCCCAGAAGCCCTGATTAAAGAAAGTAAGGCTCCCATAGGGAGAGACCCTCCTGGAATCAGGAAAAGCCTGTCAGAGGAGAAGGGACATCCAAGACCTCTTCAACCCTCTTGTTTCAGACAGGAGGTCTTCTAAGGGAGAGGAGGTAAAAGGACTCATCAAGAGCCAACAGTCCAGACATTCTCTCACCTCTGCTCACTCCAGGGCAAGGACACTAGGATAGGGCAGAAAAAGGTCTTGCCCAAGGTCAGCAGAGGCCACCATCCCCGTCCTGCTGCCCCATGCCATCCTGTCTGAAAGAGCCAGCCATTCTACATCTAATACCTGGGAGCAACTCCAAAGCCTTAACCGTCAGCAAGAATGATTCCAGAAGAAAGCATTTTCATTCCAAAGGATTTCCCAAAGCAGGGGTGGACAGCATTCAAATCCACCCTACAGAGATGTTCAGCCAAAGAGGAATTCTCTGCATTATCTTATTAACACCTTCAGGATATCTGGGCTCAGCAAGAATCTACCATGCAAAAAAAAAAAAAAAAAAAAGAATCTACCATGCAGGGATGCCTGGGTGGCTCATTGGTTGAATGTCTGCCTTATGGCTCAGGTCGTGATACTGGGATCAAGTCCTGCATCAGGCTCCCCCCACAGGGAGCCTCTTTCTCTTGCCCCTATCCTATGCCTATGACTCTATGAATAAATAAAATATTTTAAAAAAGGAAAAGAAAAAAGAATCTACCAAGCAACTTTTTTACAGAACAGGTCATGAATACTTAAGAGCTTTGTTACCTGAGGGATCTGGAAGAAACTGACAAACAGAAACAAATGGCTGGTGACTGATGAAGGGAAACAGGAGACCAGAGAGGACACAGACGGTGACACCCTAGTGACCACTGTGCATTCTCAGTGTTACCTGGCTGTGCAGTACTCTCAAACTTCTCAGAGCCCTAGGCTAACCTCTGGTCACCTGGGCGTGTGGGGGGGGGGGGAGTGCCCCTCTGCCCACGCAGGAAGTTCCCAGCTAAGTGTCCTGCACGAATACAGGGTCTATTTTCCTTGGGGGGTGGGGGAAACAACAAGAAAACCAAGCCACCTGGGACAGGGGCAGAAATCCTGGGGACCACAGACACGCCAGCACAAAAGCAGTCTCGCAATCGGCAGCTGGGCTTCAGTGGTGTCACTTCACAGACTGCCAGCAAAACCCATGTCAGAGTGGGATTAAACACCGAGGAAGCGCGCCTAATAGACTGTGACATAATCCCTCAAGAAAAGTGGGGGAAGCCCCATTGCGCTAATCATTTCAATCCAGACCTGCCAAGCCCTCTTGAGACCAGCACGCAGGAGAAACCCTGCAGCGTCAGCCAGAGCAGGCAAGATCTTATTCCCAGAGCCTGGACTGGCAACATCCCAGGATGGCTGCACTGGGGTCGGCCTGCCAGAGCCATTAGGGACGGGAAACCAACCAAGCTGGGGGATGGCCTTGGAACTGGCCCCCGGGGAGGCAATGACGGCCTTGGAACTGGCCCCCGGGAGGGAATGGGCAGAGGCCAATGACTTGCAGAGGGTCAAATCTGTCTTGTGCCTCCTAGACTCAACTTCCAGGGCACTGAAATTTCCATTCACAGAACTGGCGACACCCAGCTCCTCCTCTCAGGTCAAAGAATAGATCTGGATGCCCCTTCTATGGGCTGCCTATTTGGCCACTCTGCAGGGCACAGGAGAATGCTGAATTCATCACACACCTTGGGGCTTGGCAGACACAGCACTTGGCAAAGAAATCTCATGATTCCAAAGTAGGCTAGCCCCACCCACCAGCCTACAGATTTGGGTGTGTGGCTTCTTCCTGCAGGCCACGTTAACAGCCAGCTCTGCTGCTTCCTAGCTGTGCTCTTGGGTTACCTTAGCCTTGGTTTTCTCATCTGTGAAATGGGATCACTGTAGCACCCATGAGGATTGTTATGGTTAAATGAGATAATAAGGATAAAGCCTTTGACAGGAAGAAAGCATCAAGAACCAGATAAAAAGCAGCTACTGGTTTTAAGAACCAATTACCACCAGCATGCCCCTGCATGGATAAGCCTAAACTGGCCCAGATGCTTAATGGAAAGCATTTTCTCTATGGAGAAGCTATGGCCAACTCCCCTTGGGGGCCACAGCTAACTGCTGGTCAGCTTAGATCCTAGCTTCACTTAGCCCTAACTGTGCATGCACCGACCTCTCCCCACAAATCCTGCTGCTGAAACTGACAAACCAACATCTCCCCTTCCTCAGCTCTAACTTAGGTGGTAAAAGAAAGTAATCGAGTCACTGAGCAGAAAGGAAAAGCACAGGGAGTGCTGTACCCCAGGAAGAATGGACAAAGGCCACTTAAAAAAATGAAGCTTCCCAACATGGAAATTCTCCAGACAAGAGATCTGGATGGAAGCTGAAAGGGGCCCTGGGTTTGTGGATCAATCTGGTTTACAAAAAAAAGGGGGGGGGGGCGCAAAAAAAAAAAAAGGGAGAGAGAGGAGAGAGAGAAAAAAAAGATGGAAACTCATGGGAGCAGTGGCTGTTACCTGAAGATCATGAGAGCCCTTGACAAGAGGCGGCT